GGCCAAGCAAGCGCAGACACTGACAAGATACGCGATACAGAACGAGACCAAACGCGATATCAGCACGTCTCCACACAGTAAACAAAACAAGCGTTTCCTAGCAACAATAACTGCAATACACACTAATGAGACAAGTAAATACACTTACGAGCTGCTTTTAATTTCCGCTGATAAAGACTGCTTCTCTCAAAGAGTATTTATTTACACTGTTTTCTGCTGGCGCTTGAACACACTTTCCTTATTTTCTCCACAACGCGATATCAGCACGTCTCCACGTCTCAAATGTTATGCCCCTTAACACACTGTGATGCCGTCTCCCGGCACGGCGAGACAAAACCAATAAAACCCATTATATTTGTTGCATCCAGTGGGGACATAATTACTGATTGGAATGACTTATACTGTGTTTGTAAACAAAACCATGTCTGCATTTGTGATCGGAGAAATGACAAACTACAAGTGCTACTCGCGTTTGAATCATCATTGGCAAATTCTTAAAATATAAAAAATTTACTTACAGGCTGTGAGTCAGAAGCGCCAGACTGTCCTAGGCTTGAGTGGGCGGAGGCCTGCGGCCTTGAGAACGGCGTGGCCGGCGGATTCGACGAAGGCGCGGCCAGCGGGCATGCGTCAACCACATGTGACAACCCCGGGCTGGACTCCGCTTCGTCCACGGTGAAAGCCGATCCGGTGACCCACAGCGCAAAGTTGATGTATTTCCTCAGCGACCAGCATGGATCAGCTCCAGGCATGACGAAGCAGATATCGTCCTCTTTTGGAAGGCCAAACAAAGTAGTTTCGCTTTCACAATGAAACACACAGCACCTTCACAATATGGCGCCGGCGGCAACAACAATACTACAGCGAGAATCAAAGTTACGCCATCTTTCTTTGCGTGAACATTTGGGCGGCGTTATGCAAATCTTCCCAACATTGCAGGGGTTTTTTTGGGTTTTTTTTTCAATGCACTGGACAATTTTGACATTTTAGGCTATTTGGCTTTTCATAAAGTGTTTCAGACCATTGGAAAGAAAACATAAAAAATACACCTATAAGTCTGTATTTTATTCCACTTCATCTGTCTGCTTCTGTAGATTTCAATATATTTTAAAGGCCATTTTCTCAAAATGAGTTTACTCCTCGACTTCAGCAGTACTTAAACCAAATTTTAGTTTTATTTGTATGTTTATTCTGAAAGTTTTTACAGAGGGGTTTGTTCATATATCAATTGCCTGATTTTGCACTTTATCTTTTTGCATCTGTAGATTTCAGTTACAATACCTAAATAGGCCGTTTTCTCAAAAGGAGTTTCTCATGTCAGAAATCTCCACTTAAAACGTTCCTTAAATCTTTATTCCTATTTATATTCTGAAAGCTTTTACAGAGGGGTTTGTTCATATACCATTCACCTGATTTTATAGAACGTTTTATTCTTGAAAACGTGGTGAAAATGCATGCAAATTAGTGCATATTTAATTAGATAATGCCTCTTTTGCATATTTAAAGAAAACATTACAGAAAAAGTGTAATACAAAAAAAAGTTTGCAGTAATCAACCAACCAAGGAAGTATGGTAATGCCTATTCGGTTTTTTTTTTTTAACCAAGTAACCTGGGGTGTGGCCATTGCCATGCATAAAACTAATGTGCTCACCTCAGGGAGTTTTCAACTCATAGCAGTTTTGAGGCACCAGTTTTGAACACTTACCTTATATGTCTGAAAGTCTGTGTCTCGCCATTCCTGGATCTGAATGCCAGCCAGACACTTGTCAATGTCAGCTACGCTGCGAGTCTTCCCTTTTGTCTGCTGAAAAACACCACTCACATTTATTTAACATCACAGCGCCCTGCCCTCAACAGGTCTCTTTGTTGTCAAGCACAAACTGTGGAGCAGACTGCATAGCACGGCATGTTTGAGCTCTGTTAGACGTGCCCGTTTTGTTGTTGTTTACTGTTAATGGAATTGATTGGGGGAAGGGGGGTGTGCATTCAAATCTGATTTAGCTCAAAGTGGGTCAGTGAACACTATGTGCTAGATATCATCCGAAGCATCTAAAAAAATTATGAGTATCTGCAGATGGCAACAACCACAGAACTGGCACAAGATCAAAACGTCATGGAACAGATATCTGCATGATGGTACTGAAATGTTAAAATATGCGAATATTTGCACTTACTGTGTTACGCCTCGAGAAAGGCCACTTTGATTTCTTAGTGTCTGTAAAAGAGTGCAATAAAATAAAATGTTCTGCATAAAGTCTTGCATTTTATTAAGTATTGCTAGTTGGAGATGGGCTATAAAACTGATTTATATACTTTTGTTCTTTCATTATTTAATTCTACAGGTATACAGTAGCACATGTTAGCATATCATATTAAACCCAGAGTCATGACATTGAGGCATGACTAACCTGAATAGGCTGATTTATTTAAAATATCAGCAACGCCATTGGACACGAACAAATCTCCAGGAGAAACATCCAGTCCAGGAAGACTCACAACCACGCAATATATTTTAAAGGCCATTTTCTCAAAATGAGTTTACTCCTCGAAAGTTTTTACAGAGGGGTTTGTTCTTATATCAATTGCCTGATTTTGCACTTTATCTTTTTGCATCTGTAGATTTCAATTTCAATACATATATTTAAAGGGGTCATATGATGCTGCTAAAAAGTACATTATTTTGTATGTTTGGTTTAATGAAATGTGTTTATGCGGTGTAAGGTTCAAAAAACACATTATTTTCCACATACTGTACATTATTGTTTCTCCTCTATGCCCCGCCTTTCTGAAACGCGTCGATTTTTACAAAGCTCATCGGTCTGAAAAAGCGAGGGGTGCTGGGATTGGCCAGCTATCCAGTGCGTTGTGATTGGCCGAATACCTCAAGCGTGAGACGGAAATGTTACGCCCCTCACCACATTGTGATGATGCCCTGTCAGGCCGGAGCGATGATTCAAAAACATGAAAACCCATTATAAACGAGGCATTCGTTGCATCCAGTGGGGACATAATTATGGATTATAATGACTTGTACTGTCTTTTTACGCGTTGCGTTGCATCGCGCCGCGTAAACATAAAACCATAAAACCACTGCATTTGTGATCGGAGAAATGACAAACAACAAGCCCTACTCT